GAATTCATATTATCCTTATTTGAGGAAGACATGGTCCATTACATAGAAGTCCCAAAATTTTCCACCAAAAGACTCCTAGAATTAATCAAATTCAGCAATGTAACAGGATGTAAAATCACTGTACAACAATCAATAACATTCTAGCATACCAATCACGAACACATTGAGAAATAAATTAGGAAGACGATGCCACTCACAATGCATCAAGAAAAATTAAATACTTAAGAAGTGAGCTTCTCTAGAGTGAGAAACATGTGCAATAAAAGTTATGCCTTTATGACAAAAGAGGTCAAAGAACATCAGAAAGTGGAAAGACATCCCGTGATCCAGGATAGTCAGAAACAACATTGTCAGAATTGTGATAACTCAGACCCCGGTATAAAATCCAAGGAAGCAAGAAATTAAAATTTGAGAAGCAAAGGCTTTATTAGGTAAAATCCAGGCCTGGTGACGAGTCTCCGGGAGCCAATTTGGAGACTGCGCACCTCACAGCTAACAGGACTTTTTATCTTGTAAGTCCACAAACAGCTGCTGGTCACACAATGTAAGGAGGGGGATGGGGGTGTGATGCACTACAAAGCAGAAACGGCAATTGCAAGTCTCCCTGCATACTAGCAAGTTTAGATAAGAAATCTTGTTTTTCTTAGCAAAGAATAGAGAAGTCTAACAGCAATTAACAACCTTAGTTACCTTACTTTAGCACCACAACTGTTCTATTTGTAGAGGGCAACAATGGTTAACATATCAATTAGGTAAGATTTTACAATTCTTTACAGAGGAGAGTACTGATTAACATATCAATCCTTTGCCCAGAGGGAAAGGAAAACACACATTTACAGTATTACTATGATACAAATGAAGCTATTTTTGTGAAGAATGTACAATCTAATACAATCTAATGCAATTAACACAATTTGTGACGGGCTACCGGGTAGGGAAGATCGGGGTTGTCAGGAGCTATTACCTCAGGCCTTTGTTTTATGGCCTTTAGGAAGTTAAAACTTAACCTAGTTAGATTTGAAGGGAGAAGGGGAGGGGAAGCAGCAGGTGGGCTTATACCTTAGAACAGACCTTAGGATAGTTAGCCTTAGGAGGGGCTTAGGTTATAACAAGAATCGCTATACTACCATAACTGAAATATAAATTTAATGCAACTCCATTAACATACCAAAACTCATGGAACTAGAGAAAAAAAATTCTAAAATTTATATGGAACTATAAGAGCCTCAGAATGACACAATAAATTCTGGGCAACAAGCATAATGCAGGAGGCATTGCAATCCCAGATTTCAAAAATTGCTGCAAAACTATAGTGGTTGAGAAACAGCATGGAAATGGTAGAGCCACAGACATGTGATACAGTGGAAAAGAATAGAGGATGCAGTAACCACCCCAGACATATGACACCACCTGATCTTTGATCAAAAGGCCAAGTACTTTTGCTGGAAGAAAGATAGACTTTCTTTCTAAATTGTCCTGAGAAAATGATCTACATGCTGCAGAATTAATGCTAGCCACATTTTCACACTGTGTTTCAATAAAATCAAAGTTGATCAAAAATCGAAATGTTAAAACAGAAACATTTCTGTGGATTTAGCTTAGTGGCATTAATGCCTGCCTTGCAAGCACTGAGGTCTTGAGTTCGATCTCTGGAACAAATTAAAAAAAAAAAAAAAGAAAAACAGAAACATTTAACCTGCTGGAAGACAAAATAAGTAAAACTGTTAAAGACATAATGTAGACACAGACTTTGTGAAGAGAAACAAAATTGCACCAAGAAGTAAGAAATGTGATTATATATAACTACTTCTGCCCAGCTAAGGTATAAGTAGCAGAGTAAAGAAACATCCTCCATAGTAGGAAAAAAATTGCCAGTTATACATCAGGTAGAGGATTAATACCAAGAATATAACAATTCAGAGATTAACCTCTGAAAATAGAAGTCCCAAAATAGGCAACTGATATGATTGGAGTCCTCTCAAAACAGAAAGTCCAAATGGCTGATAAATACATCAAGAAGCTCAATATCACAGACCATTTACAGAAATGCAAATTAAGACAATACGGATTTAATCTTCAGAAAGAATGATTATGGTTAGGAAATTAAATATTAACAAATGTTAATGAAGCTGCATAGAAAAAAGAACCCTTCTCAATCATTCATAGTAATGAAAACTAGTATAATCACTATGAAAGTCCATGTGGAGATCACTCAAAACTAGAAAGAGAAATCTCACTCAACTCATTTCTTCTCGTACTACCTATCTTCCAAAAGGAGTTAGAACATATATCAGAGAAATAGGTCTATGCATCTTCATGGCAGCACAATTTACAAAGCTAAATCTTGGCAATAGCTTATTTTCCCCAAAAGATAATGAATAAAGAAAATGCAAAGTTCATACACAATAGATTTCTACTCTGCTATAAAGAAGGATGAAGTTGAATCATTTGTGGAAAAATGGATGCCCCTTGAATTCACAATACTGGGTGAGGAAAATCAAATATGTGGCTCTTGCTATATGAGAAAACCAAAGTATAAGTAAAGTGACAAAAGTTCGATAATAAGAAATAGATATAGATTTCATATGGAATCATAGCAAATAGGGATAACAATTACCCTTGTAGGTAGGCTCTGTCTAAGTTTTCTAAGAAAAGAAATGACTTGTGGGGTTTTTTTTCTTTTTAATGTTTTATAACAGGATCTATGTACAAACTCGAAGCTCACCTTGAACTCACTATGTAGCCCTTCTGGCCTTAAACTTGAGGCAATCCTCCTGCCTCAACCTCCAGAGTGTTGGAATTACTGGCATGTAACAGCATATCCAGCCTAAGCAAAAAAGATGATTTTTTACTTCTTTTTGTTTGATTTATTAAAGACTCTGTTGTCACTTACGATATGATGAACTTTGATGTGCTGAGATAGAATGGCTCTTTATCCCATTAATGGTGAAGAATTCTAATTGCTTATTCAAGTACAAGTATTTTATTGGCTCTAATTTTTTTTCTTTTGTTTTGTATCTTGTATTTGATTTTTGGATTTGGGGACAGTGTCTCACTATGTAGTTCAGGCTGACCTTGTAGCCTGACTGTGTAGCCCAGGCTGGCTTTGAACTCACAGCAATCCTGTTTGCCTGAATCTGGGATTACAGGGGTGCAACACCACATCTAGGTCATTGTGGGGCCTAATCTTTAGGAAAAGGTCCAAGATGTAAATGTACCTAAACACTGCAGAATACACAGGCTGCAAGGAGAGAGAGAGAGAGAGAGAGAGAGAGAGAGAGAGAGAGAGAGAGAGAGAGAGAGAGAGAGAGAGAGTTTATCTATTAAATCCTCTTTAGAGTTAACTAGGATAAAAAAATTCACAATATGTTTGTCCCTTTAGGAATGAGACCTCCCAATATGCAAATGATTAATTTGTGTCCTAGAAAGACTCTACCCTGTTGCTTTTGGACTGTTTATTTTTAAAACAGCCAACATCTGAGCAGAAGTTAAGATAACTTGGACTGCAGTGTCTTCATGAATAATATCTCTTGTGCTTTGGGCATCATGAGTGTTCAGTGGGAGATGCTTTCCTTGTCAGCCACATTGGGAGCACTTTTCTTGTCTCTACACCTTTGAGAGATCTCTGTGCTCTCAGCTTCCACTTCAGTCATTTCATTCTCATGGAGAGAATCCTAAGGATTCAGCATGCAGATTTCAGATTTTGTGACCTGACAGGAAAAGTAGCACAATTTATATGAACCATTTCCTAAGATTCTGGCAGATACTTTAATGATCACTATCCTCCTTCATGATCTCCAGTTGACTCTTTCATCTTAATTATGTTCTAAACCAGCCATGTGAGTATTTTCAGGAGAGGAGAGTGTGTGCCTAGTGCTGTCTTCTATTAGTATGATCAGGTCATAGAAACCTCTAAACAGGTGCTCACAGGAACACAAAGGAGGTCCCTGTGAATGGGGTATTAGGTGGAGGGAGAAATGTAGTGGGCAGTTTCAATTCATGCCTAACCCTGACTCAAAATTCTTTCCCTAAGCAGTTTTATTCCCTTAAATACACTTTTATCACCATTCTTTCTGGTTATCTTTCTACTGTAAGACTATTACTTTTGTTTGCTTTGTGCCTCATCTCTAGCTCCCTATAAAGATTAATGAACCCAGCACCCAGTAAACTTGTTCTTTCCCTCCAAACTCTTTCTATATGAGCAGCTCTACCACTGAGATTTCAGAGACCACACAAAAATTTTCAGCAGCTTCCTTTTTGTGCCATGCAAGGTCATGCATTCGAGGAACATTCGAGGACTCTTAGATGTTTAATTTTTCATTTTTATGCCTTAATATACTTCAATACTTGGATATTACTGAGAAAGTTTTACTGGCTTTCCCTTCATTTCAATTGTAGCAGTTCATATACACGATATTAGCTTTGATTATTTCTTTTGGGCTTTTATTCATAAAATCAGTGATATATAGTTTTATTCTTGGGTATTTTAAAGTGATGTGGATCAAACTCAGAGCCTCTCATATATTCCATTGGCACTGTTAAGTTGAATTTCATCCAAGCCTCTAAGGTGGTCTGTTATTCATTTTATTCTGCGTTTGACAATGATGGATAAATGAATTCTATCTTCCATACTTTATTAGGTTGACATTGAGGTTTGGAGTACTTTTTTAAAGAATGAACACATGTAGGAAGTTTTCATATGATGCAAATTCAGCGAAAAAAGCAAACACAATCTGTGTGAATGTAGAGAAGATATTTTATTATATTAACCCCAATGTAGAATTGTACATATTATGTGCATAATAAATATAAAACCTTATAAATAGTTAAAAATTTTACATAGACAAATAAATAAATACTTTCAAGTTTGAAAAGTCAGTGGGAAGAAAAACAGAACATGGTATGATTAGAGTCTAAAGTGAGAGTCTTCAAATGGCAGAACTGTGAAAGGGTGACATCCTTGACAAGAACCATCTCCATGTTAAACCTGGACTTGTTGCTTAGTCCTGCATCTTTCTTGCCAGTTTTTCTGATAAAGAGAAGGCTCTGACAATTTCTGCTCTGACAACCTCCCAGGCACAAGGGCTGTAGCTCTTCTCCTTCAGGTAAACAGCCATCCTGTGGAAGTATTTCCTCACAGCCATTCTGGAGTCCTCATGCATCAGGGAAGGTTCTTCCAGCCCTGTCTCCTGGGTCAGGCAGGCTTCCAGGTCATTCAGCTGCTGATTAAGGCCAGTGCAGAAGGTGTCCATCAGGCTGTGGTCCCAGGCAGCAGTTGAGTCCTGTGATGTGAAGAGATTGAAGGTCTGCCTGGTCATCTCATGGAGGACAGAGAGAGCCTGAGCCTTCTGGACCTGCTTTCCATCAAACTCCAACTGGGCCAAGCCAAAGTCCTGTCTGTGCTTCAGGCAGGGGAAAGTGGAAATTCTCCTCATTTGTCCCAGGAGAATCAAGGCCCTGGTGTTCCCCTGGCTGTGGGTCTGAGGCAGGGTGCAGGCCAGAGAATATGGTGCCATGATAGTGAGCACCAGCATAGCCACCAATCCAGACAATAGCCAGGCCATGGGGATCCTGCTGATGCTGCTGGGCTGTCTGAAGTGGATGTGTGATCCTGCACCTTTGCCTGTGCGTTCTCTGAAGACTCTGGTGTGTTCAGCCAACTTAAATAGGGAACACACCAGCTTCATTTTCTGAATGCCCTTCCTTTATTTTCTACTTCTGTTTTCTTGTTCCTTTTTGCTTTCTGTACTGGGGTTTTGAGTAAAGTTTCTCATTCACTTTGTTTTCATCATTGCCTTCATTCTCCACACCACCTGACCCTCAATAGATCTGTTTTCACAAATGAATTCCTAATGAAAAGTCAGTGGCACAGAGATGATATATATGATACGTATGAATATTTACTTTAATATGTATTGTTTATATACTGAATTCATATCTTTGTATTATATATGTAAGCACTATGAATCTATTTTATTTAAGAACAGTTTTAAGCATGATTAAACAAAAATTTAAGCTAAAAGTTACATTTAAAAGCTATGATACTGCAATTGATAGTACCTAAATCTCATAGTACTCTATATATTCACTGGTCATGTGGGTAAGCCAGAGTGGTATTCGTGTGCAACAGAGTACTACTCTACCATGAAGAAAAATAGGCATTATTCATTTCTGAGAAAGTGATGAACTTGAAATCATTAAGTTAACTGGAATAAATCAGACTGATAAGCTAAATCGTGTATAGTTTCACTTACATGAGAAACTCAAGTTATTTATATAATAAGAAAATAAAAGATATATAACAGGAGCTTTCTCAAAGATCTTTCTCAAAGGTAAGGGGATCAAGAGTTAGGGAAGGGTGAGAAAGGAAAAGTTATGAAGAAAGTATTTAAGATGGTGATATGCATGTGTCAACTTTGTATAATCATGTAAACATGTACTTCATATATCTCAATAAAAATGTATAAAAAGTAAAAAAAACAAATAGCCAGGCATGGTGGTGCAGGCCTATAATCCCAGCATTTGGGAAGCTGAGGCAGGAGTATCATTGCAAGTTTGAGACAGCATGGACTATAAAGTAAGCTCAAGGGCAAACTGAACTGCATAACAAGACCCTCTCTCCAAAAAACAAAAAGATAATAACAATGAGTAAAATTATATGTGTCTATTTATAATTAACTTCAAAATAAGTTCCTTTCAAGTTTGCTATAATTTATATCCTATGATTTTCTACTTATAAATAATATATATATATATATATATACTTATAATTTAGTGATTCTGGTTCATGTAGATATTTATATAAATTTGAATGAGTCACATTATACTCAAAATTTTCAATTTATAAAAACTTACTGTAGTAGAGTGAAATTTTTAAATGTCTTTTAAATCACTAAAATACTTAAATATAACATATTTTTAACTTGCACTGGTAGTGCAAATTATTTTCATTTTGTTTAGTATGAAAGAATACTCTTCAATTGGTTTAGCTATTAGACTTATTTAGGCTTAGTAAAAACTGTTTTTTCTCTAAACTGAACATAATTATTGATGTGTTCAACAGGTGTAATAGAAGTAAATATTAAATACACTTTCAGTTTGCTTCCCATGACCTAGAACATATTTAGAAGCACTGACAATAAAATCTAAAGTGCCCTGAGGATCAAAAATCATATAACAGGAGCTGTCCAATAGTTAAGGAGCACAAATCAGGTATAAAATGGGGGAGAAAAATCTTCCAATCACAATCATGATGGCCCACAGGATTGCAGCAGATATCTCTCGTGTACTTTGGGCATCTTTCATGAATCATTGTCTATATCTTTTATGTTCTACAGAAGGATAGGCAACATAAGTTCTAAGGAATAATATTAACTTAGAGTCCTTTTTGTAGGTTAAATCCATTGTAATATGCTAGATTGTTCATAATTCCACTAATTAATTTAGACACACATGAGTTATATCATTTCCACAGAGAATACATGTTTTAAACATGTTTTTCACATTCATTTGAATCAGATTGATCTTTTCAAAACTTGCATTAGGATTCAAATAACTAAATGATCCACATGTAAAAAAGTAAATGGGCTTTGTAATTATCCTGTGTATCATGAAATACAAGAGATATCGATTCACACTTCCTTTTTCATAGAAAGCAAAAGTTAGTTTTTTTGTTGGTGTTGGTGTTGTTTTCTTGCATTGCACTGACTGGGGACAAATAGAAAACAAAATTGTGTGCTAGCATGAAAAAAATAATGAAAGTATGAAGAAATATTCTGCTGGGAGAATTAGGGATAAATATAACCTAGTTCCTTGTGCTCAGGAAGATGGAGAACAAGTTTTAGATGAAAGAACAAGAAGATGTTTGAAGCAATGTAGATAAAGGCAGCCAAGGGTCTTGCTTATCATAAGTCAGACACTAATCTTAGCATTTACCCAATAAGTTCTCATTTGTTCCTGTGAACAGTAACCTAGCATTTCATACCTAGTGAAACCCTGTCCTGTGCCCAGACCATTAGGCCAATGGAGACATCATTGACTAAGGCACACATTGAGCAGTTCCACTCTTACTCCCGTTTACAGCAGGAACCATGAAAGCACAGGGATCCACGAGCTATGCAGTCACTGTTGACTCCACCATGAGAGAAAATACCACTCTGAGTCTTCACCTTTCACCTGCTGTCTGGGGATATTTCTGACCATAAGAACCAGAGCTTCCTCTGGACTGATCTGTATGTTCCAGTAAATTGAGTCTTCTTGTAAAATGGTGGCTTCTCATTTCTTCAGATCTCCTCACTATCCTTGGCTGAAAAGTCCTATTTGATTCAACCAGACATGGAACTTAGTCAATAACCTTGTGCTTTTTATAGACATCAGTTATTGTCTATGTTTTGTTTTCTCCAGAGTATATACTCATTAACTTATATTTGGTAAACACTTTTGCACCCTAGCTATGAGTCTTAGGACATGAACCGAAGCAAAATGAAATAAAGCAAAATGAAATAAAGGACCTAAATAAAATGAAGTCAAGGAGCTGTGGCTCAGAGTTCATACCTCGAAAGGCTCTTTGAATTGATTAGTGGTGCAAAAATGGAAGAAGATCTGGAGAAATGAAGAGTCTAGCATGTTGCAAGACAGCTCAGATAAGAAACACTGGTTTCCCACCTAGTCAGTTACTTGGTCTCTTATTTGTAGGGAATTAGCCCTTGGCTTCTGTTTTAACTATATTAAGTTTCCTTGAGGATTTGGTCCTAAATCCTGGGCAATGTCATGGCTGAAGTGCAGAAGAGGAACCGGCATAAAGAGTATTTTAGCAGTGCAAGAAAATAAATTCATAAAAAAGCATAAACTAGTGTGCCTTTGGCTTTTGTATTTTAAAATGAATCTTCCCTAATGTAATTACTGCAAAAATCATCTGTTGAAGGTTTCAGAACTTCTCATACACAAAAATGCTGAATAATCATTTGATACTTTTTTGTATTTTAATTCATATGGGCTTAAGTGCTTCATTTCTGTTTTATTTCTAAAATTTTGCATTCAAAATTATATCTTTATTTCAAGGTGAAATATAAATGTATTCTGAATCTCTGATTCAATGTTTTTTGGCAAAAAAAATTCCCACTCTTCTTTATTCATTGCTATATTCACTTGTCTATCCTTTTCTAGCTCAGAGATCTACTGTTTAATAGTTGACCCATTTCTTTTTCTAGACATCATATCCAGGAATCCCTAAGCAAAGAAATCATCTTATCAGATGGATGAATTTTTGTTGAATCTCTATCATTTCAGGAACTATGCTATATATAATTTTTCCCTTTTTCTTGGTATTTTGGATTGAAACTAGGCCTTTTTCATTGAATATGGTCACAGCCTTTTGTTTACTTTTTTATGTTGGGACAGAGCCTCACTAATTATCCAAGGATAGTTTATAGCCAGACTGCATTGAAACTCCCAGGGTGCTAGGATGACACGAGTCAATATTTGTGACAGAAAAACTAATTGTTAATTCTAGAGAAATAATATGATTACACACAAAAAACTTTGAGATGAAATGGTGTAAAGATAATTTTTATATTCAACAAGGTTGTTCAAATAACTTTAATGCAAGATTGTACTGAATATTTACACAAAAGAGCAAATAGTTTTTTGGGGGAACATTTTCATCAAGTTTCTATTTGTATTAATTAGAATATTAGTGAGAAACAACGAACTGAGTTGCAATCAAAGACTCATTCTGTTCTACTGTGACAGATATCTTCAAGAACCTGCAAGAAGTCATATGACCATGCTTTCCTTATGTCCTCTAGTGTTAAGCAGAGAACTTTAATTTCATAATGTGGTCTAAGATCTTCTGTCCATACTGGTAAGTAAATTCATGATGCTGGGAACTGGAAAGAATGCAACATGTCCTATGTGTGAAAATGGTTGAATTAGACTTTGGTACAGAATTATTTTCATAAAACAAGTGCTTTTTAAAAATGAGTTATTTTTGCTGTTAAAGGTAGCATTAGTACACACCTTTTGTAGAAATGAAGGATGATCTCACTGAAAGAACTTGGTATTGCTTCCCACAATTCACCCAAGTATAATTCCTTTTCAATATTGTTTGCCCCTAAGTATCATATGAGAATACCTCTGGACTGAACTGATTAAATATGGAAGGAAGTGATCTTTTGGCCAGAGTGTAGAGACATGAAAACACATCCTTATGATTCACTATAGCTTTTCATTTTGCAAGGGAAGCACAATAGACACATTTGCAGTCATATGTGGAAGATGTCAAGGCCAAAATGTATACATCACTGAAATCCTGGAATCACACCGTGAGGCCAAACAACTGATCTGATCAGGAATTCATGTATTGAGCTCTAATGCAAAAGAAAGATAAATTTGTGCTGTGTTCTAATTGCTAGTAGTTTTAAATCTATCGACTTCACTGACAAATCTTTTAAAAATATCCTGTTGAATAATGTTTGTTACAAAAATATCAGCCTTTAGAAACTGCACAAGCACAGGCACTGTGTTCCTTTTTTATTCAGGACACAGATGATTCCTTGCAAATTTT